CTGCAGAGAACTCATGTCTACTATCTCCAGTCAGCCATCATGAGAAGTTCTTTCCTCTTTTCAAATATAAACGTTTAGTATGATAAACGTTCATCTTAGAGGCACTTTTGGCAAATCCTATGTGTTTTGGTATGGTATGTCTCTTCTGTCATTTGTCTCTAGATATTTTTTTAATGTATAACTTCATTCCTTCTTCTTTTTTGTTCCTTCTTAAGAAAGAATCTCCCTCTGTCACCCAGGCTGCAGTCCCATGGCATGATCTCTGGAATAGCTGTAGCCTCTGCCTCCCCCCATCGGTGTGCTGTATCCACACCAATCTCACATGCAAGGATACATAAAGACTCAAAACAAAGGGATGCAGGAAGATTTACCAACCAAATGGAGAGCAGCAACAACAACAACAAAAAAACAGGAGTTACAATTCTCATCTCTGATAAAACAGACTTTAAAGCAACAAAGATCAAAAGAGACAAAAAGGACACTACATAATGGTAAAAGCATCAATGCAACAAAAACAGCTAACGACCCTACATATATTCTCACCCAATACAGAGTTACCCAGATACATAAGGCAACTTCTTAATGACTTAACGAAGAGACTTAGACGCCCACGCAACAATAGTGGGAGACTTTAAACACTGCATTGTCAATATTAGACAGATCAATGAGATAGAAAATTAACAAGGATATCCAGGACTTGAACTCAGACCTGGAACAAGTAAACTTAACAACTATTTACAGAACTCTCCACCCCAAATCCACAAAACATACATTTTTCTCAGTACCACATCACACCTATTCTAAAAGTGACCACATAATCGAAAGTAAATCACTCCTCAGCAATTGCATAGATAGAAAAAAAGAAAAGAAGAAAAGTCATATGGTTGATATCAACAGATGCAGAAAAGTGACAGCATCTGAAAATTTCAACACTCAATGGTAGAACCTGCTAGGAAACTAAGAATGGAGGAGAACTTATTCTTAATAGAGAGCATTTCCTAATGAAACTACAGCTAACATTGTACTACTAAGAAAAATATGGGGTTTTTTTTCTCTCAAAGATTGGAGACGAAAGAAAGCAAGAGTGTCCATTCTCGTCATTCTTATTTAACACAATATTGGGAGTTCCAGCTGCTGTGATAAAGGAAAACAAACAAGTGAACGACATATAGGAAGGGAGGAACACACACTCTTCTTTCTTGCAGCTTGTACACACAGAAAATGCCAAAGAATTTCCAAAACCTTTTTGAATTAATAAATGAGTTCTGCAAGGTTAGAGAGTATTAGATAAATAAAAAAGCCAATCATCGTTCTGTACACTAAAGATGAACATGGGAAATAGAAATTTAAAAACCAGTACGACTTATTACATCTCTCGAAGAGAAATGAAGAAGCCTTCGTGATGGCTGACTAGGGGCGTTTGCTTTCTCCAATAAGAGAACCAAAGTGAGTAACCACACCTAACTTGATCATCCAAGACACAGCAATGGAAAAGAGGCAATACCTGAAGCAGGGAAGAATTAGGTGAGGCAGCCTGCTTGGCTAGGATGGGCTGGGAGCTGAGAGACTATCTAACAACTTAAGCGGTTAATGACCCCCAGGGATCCATATTGACACCAGTACCCCTGTAATCCTAGCCACTGGAGAACTAACCCCACTCAGTGAGTCCTGAAACTAACATAGGGAGCTGCAGAGAAATAGTGTGAAGGCACTGGCTTATGGATAGAGCCTGTGCAGGATCCCTTACATTCACTGAGACCTAACAAGATTGCCTACTGTTCTGGAGCCCAGCAGTGCTGGGGCTGAGAGGCAATAGAAAAGATTGCTGCTGTCCCCGAGACGTAGTTAGCACTACCAGAGCTGAGGCACGTGTGGCACATGTGCTGACAACAGGCAGGCCAAAGCTGCTGTCACTGAAACCAGTATTGCCTGCCTAGTGGCAGGGAAGTGGCACAAATCCTGCCACCATTCACCTAAGCATTCTGCCAGTGGCCTGAGGATCCTCCCAACCCCTGCTTTTCCATGGCCAGCATATGTACACAACATCAGCCCTGAGGAAAAAAAACCAGCCTGACAAGGTTTAATCCCCTTCCTATGCCAGAGCTAAGTCTGGAGCTTGGGTGTTACCCAGCTCAGTCCAGTATTATTGACACCTGAACACTCCTCTTGAGGGGGCTCAGGCTGGATCTCATTCACCTGCTTGCTATAACCACAGCGGATACGTGTATGCAAGGTATCACACGTAGGCCAGGAGACTGGCCTGACAAGCCCACTGCAGCCTGGAACACACTGCTTGGGGGCTGACCTTCCACTGCCACTGCCAGCGCCATCAGCCATGCTACATCAGTTGTCCAGAGGCCCACTAACCTACCCACATGCCCAGCACACAGCTGTCACTATTCCATCAGTGTAGGCCACCTGGGGGCCCAAGCATTGGCCTGCTTGGACACACTAACACTTGTGCCATTGCAGGTCACATTGAAGCCCAAAGATATAATTGTTCAGTCCACTGCTGCCACTACTAGGGCCTGCAGTCTGGCCAAGCTGGCGTCCGAGTCCCCAGTGAAATTGCAGTACAGGCTCCAATACTGACTGCACCCACAGCCAGTGAAAAAGTCTCAGATGCTCTTTACAACCAAGAAATCATACAGAGACTATCCTACTGCATGAACCGAGAATTAAAGCCAAAGTGCCTTACCCAAGCAATGCTAGATTCATCCTCAGAAATATGTCCTTCCCTATAGAAAACTGGAAGGGACTGATAGGCCAGTTATGCTGGTATCAGTGAAAGGACACATGAGAAAGCTAGTTAATATGACATTTCCAAAGGACACAATAATTCTCCAGAAATAGAACCAAATCAAAAAGATATTCATAAAATGGCAGAAAAACGACATGAATAACTATAAAGAAGCTCAGCGAGAAAGAAGAACATTTTAAAAACCAGAAACAAAAGCAAGTCAGTATATGAAGGAGGAGTACACCAGTTTAGTTTTTATTAGAACTAAATTCTAGAACTGAAAAATTCTTTTCATGAACTACACACAGTGGGTTTAGAAGCAGCAAGAATAGGCTAGATCAAGCAAACGAAAGAAAGAAAAAACAACCACAGAACTTGAAAACAAGTCTTTAGAAATTAACAAAGCAGACACACATTTTTAAAAGAATAAAAAAGAATTAACAAAATCTTTACAATATATAGGACACCATAAAGTGACCGAATATATAAACTACTGGTATCTCAGCAGATGAAAAAACAACAAAAGGACTCACAAGCTGTTTAGCAAAATAACAAATGAAACTTCCAAAGTCTAGCAAGAGATTTACACATCCAGATACAGGAGATCCAGCTACCCGCTCAGATGTGACACAAAAAAAATCTTCTCTACAGCGCATTATAGTAACACTGTCGTCCAAAGTCAATGACAAAGAGAGAATTGTAAGAACAGCAAGAAAAAGGGATCTAGTTATCTATAGCAGAAAACCCAATGGACAAACAGATTGCTCAGCAGATATCTTGCACGCAAGGTTAGAATGAGATGATATATCCAAAGTGCTGAAAGAAAACATCTGTCAGCCCAGGATTCTATATCCAGTTAAATTTTCCTTCACAAATGCTGGAGAATTAAAGTCTTCTCCAGACAAGCAAAGACTGAGGGAATTCATCACCAACAGATGGGGCCTACCAGAACTGTTTAAGGGAGTACTAACTCTGAAAATGGAAGAAAAATATTTGCCACCACGAAAACACATCAAGACATAAAATTCTATTGTAAGAAAACATAAAAATAGGAAAGGACACAAATGGTACCCCTACAGATAACTGCCACAACACAATAATAGTAAGAGAAAAAGAAAGAAGGAATATACAAAATCAGAACACAATTAACAGTATGACAGCTATAGGACCTCACATATCAACTTATCAGTAACCTTGAAAACAAATGGACTAGAATGCACACTTAAAAGACATAGACTCCATGGATTAAAGAACGTGATCCACTATTATGCTGTTTACAGGAAACTCGCTATACCTGCAAAGACAGCATACAGACTGAAAGTAACGGACAGAAAATAGCATACTGAAGCCAAAAGTAAGCAGCAGTAGCTATACTTTAGGCCAAAGGCAGGAAAAATAGGAAAGACAAAGAAGGTCATTACAATTCCATATATATGCAGCCAGTACTGGAACACTCAGGTTCATAAAACAAATCTTAATCTAAGGAGAGATATTTCAACACAAGAATGGGGGGAACTTCAAACCCCACTTGCCTTACAGCAATCATGTAGACAGGAAAACAATAAAGTACTGAACTCCGACTAGACATCGAACTGAAGGTACCTGACAAAAATTTGCCGAATGTTTTACCGCAAAACTGCTGAGGGCATACTTTTTTCATGAGCACATGGAGGATTCTCCAAGACAGACCACTGTAGGTCACGAAACAATTCTGAAAAAAGTTCAGAGAACCAAAATCCCATGAAGCATATTCTACCACCACTGTGGAATAAAATGAGAAATTAAGATTGAGCTCAGTGGCTCATGCCTGTAATCTCAGCACTTTGGGAGGCTAAGGCAGGAGGATTGTGTAAGCTCAGTAGTTCAAGGAGAGCAGCATGGCAAGACCCTGTCTCTATTAAAAATTTAAGACCCGACGTGGTGGCTCATGCATGTAATCCCAGCACCTTGGGAGGCTGAGGCGGGACAGGTCACCAGGAAAGAAGTTTGAGACCAGTCTGTCCAACATAGTGAAACCCCATCTCTACTAAAAGTACAAAAAATGAGCCAGGTATGTGTGGTGTTGTGCACCGCCCCCCCCCACCCCCCCCACCCCCCCTGTAATCCCAACTACTAAGGAGGCCGAGGCAGGAGAATCCTGTGAACCTGGGAGGCAGAGGTTGCAGTGAGTCAAGATCACATTATTCATTGCACCCCAACCTGAGCAACGAGACTCCACCTCAAAACAAAAAACAAAGAAAAAACACCGACTTTGCATCACCTCTTTCATTTCTGACTGAAATGCTGGACCAGTCCTGAGGAAAATTAATTGCAGGTGAGTAATGATAGTCTTGGGTCTCCATCTAAAAAAATAAATAAATAACATAAATCAGCAGGGCATGGTGGCATTATGTCTGTAGGCCCAGCTACTCAGGAACCTAAAGTGTGAGGATTACTTGAGCCCAGCGGTCAAAGCTGCAGTGAGCCATGACTGCCCCACTGCACTCCAGAGCAAGACACTGTCTGAAAAACATATGAAAATTAAAATAAAAAAAAAATACAAAAGGCTCGTCATGGTGGCTCACACCTGTAATTTCAGCACTTAGGGAAGCTGATGTGGGATGTCCGCTTGATCCCAGGAGTTCAAGATCAGCCTCATATAGTGAGATACTAACTCACTTTAAAAAATTAAACACACACACACACACACACACACACACACACAATCATATAATAACAGGCAAAAGAGAAAAAAAAAACTCCATGAGAAACTAGAAATTAATACCAGTGGGAACCTTGGAAACTATATATATGTGGCAATTAAAGGACATGCTCTTTAACAACCATTGGTCAATGAAGAAGTAAAGATTCAAATGAAAAAAAATTATTAAAATAAATGAAAATGGGAACAATACATCAAAATCTGTTTAATATCACATGAGCAGTTTAAAAAAGAGAAGTGTGTAACAATAAGCGCATGCATCTAAATAGTACAAAGATCTTAACTAAGCAATCTAATGATGCATCTATTACAAATATAACAGTCCAACCCAAAATTAGCAGAAGACGCAAAATAATAAAGGTGACACCAAATCTCAAATAAAAAAAGCTGGGGGGGGGGCGGGGACTAAAGAAAGTGTGCAGAGGATCAATGAACACAAAGTTGGTTCTTGAAAATATAAAACTGATCAACTACTAGCTAAGGTAACCAAGAAAAGAAGAAAAACAAATAAATACAAATAGAGGTAAAAAAGGAGATATTACATCTGATACCAGAGAAAAGACAACGGGTTACTATGAACAAGTATAAACTAAATGGAAAATTCAGAAGTAATGGATGAATTCCTGGAAACATACAAACTACCTGGAGTGAATCAAGAATTAAAAATCCTGAACACCTGACAAGTATTGATACTGATTCAGTAATAACAAGCCTCCCACAAAGAAAAGCCAAAGAACAAATGGATTCTCTGCTGAATTCTACTAAACATGTAACAAAGAATAAACATCAATCTGCCTATTCCAAAACACCGAGGAAGGAATTATCCCTAACTCATTCTATCAGACCAGCATTAACTGATAACCAAAACCGGAAAACACACAACAAAAATCTGCAGACCACAATCTTTGATGAATGCATCCACTTGCTCTTGGATCAGAGGAATTCATGTCATTAAATGGAACACACTACTGCCCCAAACCAGAAAACACACAACAAAAAAGAAAACTGCAGACCATTATCCCTAATGAATTGCATCCCATGCTCACAGATTCGAGGAATGTCATTAAAGTGAACAATCTGCTCAAAGTAATCTGCAGAATCAGTCCAATCACCTTTGAAATACCAACGCCATTTTCCACAGACATAGACAAAACAATCCTAAAGTTCATGTAACGCTAACAACAAAACTAGCTAAATAGCCAGAGCAATCCACATGAAAAAGAGACATTATGCTACCTGACTTAAAAATGTATTACAGGGATACAATAACCAAAAGAACATAGTATTGATATAAAAAGACACATAGATCAATGGAAGCAAATTAACCCAGGAAGATAACCCCAGAATACATCCTGATATTTACAGCCAAGTGACTTTCTTTAAAAAAAAAAAAAGATGAAAAGAATATACACTTGAAAAAGCACACCAACTTTACCAAATGGTGGTGGGGAAAATCGTACATCCATATGTAATAGAATGAAACTAGAGCTCTTTCCTTACTGAATGACAAAATCACCTCCAGGCTACGTGCACTGGATCATGCCGTTATCCCAGCACTCTGAAAGGCTGAAGTGGGTGGATCACTTGTCAGGAACTGGAGACCGGCCTGGCCAATGTGACGAAACCCTGTCTCCACTAAAAATACAAAAATTAGCCAGGGATGGTGGCAGGTGCCCATAGTCCTGGCTACATGGGAAACAGAGGAAGAAGAATTGCTTGAACCTGGGAGGTTGCGACGGCAGCGAGTCAAGATCTTGCCACTACACTCAAGCCTGGGTGACACAGCAAGACTATGTCTCAAAATATGTAAACTAAAATAACCTCCAGATGGATCAAAGACTTAAAGACCTAAAAGTTTACCACTACTAGAAGCAGTAGAGGAAATACAACAGAACACTGATCTAGGTCAAAATTTTATGGCCAAGACCTCAAAAGCACAGCCAACAAAAACAAAAATAGACAAATGGCACTATATTAAACGAAAAGGCTTCTGCACAGCTAAGGAAACAAACACTGGAGGGAACAGACAACCCACAGAATTGGAGAAAATATTTGCCAACCATTCATCTGACAAGGGACCAATGGTATCTGGAAAATGCAAGCTCATACAACTCATGTATAAAACCAATCCCATTAGAAGATGGACAAGTGCGGTAATCCCAGCACTTTGGGAGGATGAGGTGGGTAGATCACAAGGTCAGGAATTTCAGACCAGTCTGAATGACATGGTAAGATCTTAGCTCTACCAAAAATACAAAAATTAGCCAGGCACAGTGGCGAGCACCTGCAATCCCAGCTACTCGGGAGGCTGAGGCAGGAGACTCGCTTGAACCCGGGAGGCAGAGGTTGCAGTGAGCCAGGATCCCACAACTGCATTCCAGCCTAGGGGACAGAGCGAGGCTTTGTCTCAAAAAAAAAAAAAAAAAAAAAGTGGACAAATGACATAATGGACAATTCCTAAAAAGACATATAGACAGCCAACAGGCATATAAAACTGCTCAACATCACTAAGCATGAGAATATTCAAATCAAAACACATAATAAGATAAAAATAGCAAAAACGAAAGCATGTCATTTGCAGAAAATGAATGGAAGTGGAATTCATTAGTTTACTGTTTTTGAGGCAGAATGTTGCCCTATCACCGAGGATAGAGGAAGTGGCACAATGACGGCACACTGCATCCCTGAACTCCCAGGCTTAAGAGATCATTTAACTTCTGCCTACCAGGTAGGTGGCCATACAAGAATGTGCCATCACACCCGACTAATATTTGTATCTCTTGTAGAGGAGGAATTTCACCATGTTGCCCAGGATGGTCTCAAACTCCTGGGCTCAAGTGATTCACCTGCCGCAGCCCCCAAAGTGCTGGGATTACAGGTATGAGCACTGAGCCTTGTCCAAGTACATTATGTTAAGTGAAATAACCTAGATGTGGAAAGGTAAATATTGCATGCTCTCATTCATATATGGGGGCTAAAAAATGATTTCATAAAGGTAGAGAGTAGAATGATATACTAAAGGCTGGGAAGGATGGATGGCTGGGAGGAAGCTGATCAAGACAGGTAGGTTAATGGGTACAAACATACGGTTACATAAAAGGCATTTCTACTATTCCGCAGCAGTGTAGATGAGTAACTGTAGTTAATAACAATGTATATTTCAAGTTAGAAAGAGAAGAAGACTTGAATTTTCCCTAATCCATAGATATGGTAAATCCTCAAAGTAATGGACACTCAAAATACCCTAATTTAAGAATCACACATTGTATACATATACCAACATATCACGTGTACCCTCGTATATAGGTAACATATTATGTATCAATTTTTAAAAATGACATAATCTGCGGGAATAAGATCCAAACAGGATCTGCATACTGAACATTATAAAAGCCAGTGGAAAAAAAATCGCGGACTGAAATGAAGAGAAATATACAGATTGGGATACACAACATATTAAAGATACTAATTTTATTAACCTATCAATTATACTGCAAGCATATTTATGTAGACATGTATTCTAGACATGAGAAACATTGTTGTCTATATAGTTAGCCCAACATATGAAAAATCACAGGAAGGCTTTCTGTAGCCCTAGACAAACTTACTCTAAAATTTATACGAAAAGGAAAGACTCTATAAGATGTAAAACAATCTTCATAAAGAATAAAGAAAAACTGTTTGCTGTATATGAAGACCTATTAGGTAATTACGGCAAACCAGAGAGTGAGGCACTGGCACAAAGATGAACAGATATAAAAATGGACCTGACTAGAAAACACGAAAATCAAGCAACACGAATTCACTCTACTGATCCTTTTTAGAGGTACAAACAAATGGTCCTGGAGCTTAGACACAAAATGCAAGAACAAAACAAAAAATAATATTGATGTATGCCTTATAATTTATATAAAAATTTAGCTCAAAATGGATTATGAATACAAATGTAAAATTTTAAATATTAATCCACAGGGAAATATCTTTTGAGTTGTGGGTGTAACTACATTATTTCACCGATGTTGCTTAGGTTAACTCTACAGCAACCGTGCACTAACCCAAGAGATCTTTTTCTGTCTTTTCAGAATTATACAGATACGGTTTTCAAAATATTAATTCTTCCTGCTTTTTTTTTTTCTTTAGCTTTTTTTCCCTTCCCTTTATGTGATGCCACAAGGTAGATTTGTAGTCTCCTCACCTGTAGATTAACTAACTAACTTTCATTTCTAAATTTCAGATACCCATAACCATCTGTTCCATTCTAAACCAATTAGAATCACTTAGATTTTCTACAGGTAAATGATAATCTTTTGCTCTGTCCTTTCTGGATTTTGTCTTGTTCAGAGCACACATGCACAAGGATCTGTGGACTTTATTCCTTAAAATGTTTCCCAATTTGTGCCTCTCCTTATATTCTACAAATTGAAAATATTCCATTTCTTCCCTGGGCTTCTAGTCTTAGAAATACTCGAAGCCAGGAGCGGTGGCCCAGCCTGTAAATCCCAGCACTTTGGGATTTGGGAGGCCAAGGCAGGTGGATCACGAGGTCAAGAGGCCGAGACCACCCTGGCCCATGGCAAAATCCTGTCTCCAAAATACAAAAATTAGCTGGGTGTGTCGGCACGTGTCTGTAGTCCCAGCTACTCAGAAGGCTGAGGCAGAAGAGCCGCTTGAACCTGGGAGGCGCAGGTTGCCGTGAGCCCAGAGACATCTCGCCACTGCCCTCCACCCTGGAGACAAAGTGAAACTTTGTCTCAAAACAAAACAAAACAAAAAAAAAAAAAAAAAAAAAAAAAGAGAGAGGAAGACGAAGAAGAAGGAATACTCCCCTTGTCTATGTGTAAAGAACAAACGGAGCATTTATAAAGATGGGAGTGCGCTAAAAGAAAGACTTTTGCACGCTTATTGATTCCTTTGTATAAAACCAGGCAATAATAGCTCTGTTATTAACTACGAAGACAGTTAGAAAGTCTTAGGATGACAGGAGTTTGACACCATCAGATCCCTTCTCCAGTTTTCTGTTTACTACTCACCCAATGCCTCAGTCATGACAAAGAACTGGAGGTTCCCAAACATCCAAACGATCAAGTTCTAAAGTGTGAATGTACATGACAGAATACTTTTTTTTGTTGTTTTTGAGATAGAGTCTCACTCTGTCACTCAGGCTGGACTGCAGTCTCACCGCAACCTCCGCCTCTCAGGTTCAAGTGACTCTCCTGCCTCAGCTTCCCAAGTAACTGGGATTACAGGCTTGCACCACTATGGCTGGCAAATTTTTATATTTATATATAGTAGGCATGGGGTTTCCACATGTTGGCCAGGCTGGTCTCGAATTCCTGACCTCTGGTGATCCGCCTGCCTGGGCCTCCAAAAGTGCCGGGATTACACGTGTGAACCACGGCACCTGACACCTGGCTTACGTAAAACATTCTTGAATGCCAACTGTACTAGTACTCTATTTGATATCTGTTCCCATGGATGTCCCCTACTAGATATGATAAAAAGCCTTGTGGATATGGAATGTAGAGAAAAAGTTTTGCCTTTTAGGAGAAGTTAATTAGAACACGTCTAAGAGAAATAAAACGAGGTCATAGTAACTTAATGGCTAACAAAAAGGAACGGGTTCTTCATTTACACTGAAATTATGTAATCATAAAAAGTTGACTAAATACTAGTACTTTGAACATCTTACTTTTTAATTTATTACTTTGGAAAAGTAGCTAATGTTTTATATTAAAATGCAGAATCTGGTGGGGGCAGTGGTGCACGCCTATAATCCCGGCACTTTGGGAGGTCGAGGTAGCTGGGTCACTTGAGGTCACGAGTTCAAGACCACCCTGTCCAAGACGGGGTGAAACCCCGTCTCCACTAAAAATACAAAAGTTTGGCAGGCGCCTGTAATCCCACTACTTAGGAGGCCGAGGCAGGCAAATCGCCTGAACTGTGAGACAGAGGTTGCAGTGAGCCGAGATCATGTTACTGCACTGCACCCTGGGAGACAAGAGCAAAATTCTGTCTCAAGAAAATAAAAAGAAAAAGAAACGCGGACGTTTAAGATTTGCGGTAACAACCAGATTAAGCAAGCCACACTATACATACATGGCAGAAATGCAAATCAACCTCAGAAAACTTCAGATTTAACTGCTGAGAAACATGGCTGTTTTCCACATAGTTCTGGTTTTACTGTGGGAAAAGTATCTGTTTTACTCAGCTACTAGATTATTTTCTGAACAAGGTGTGTACTATGATAAAAATTTCTTTAACTGAAAGGCAAGTGGGTAGGGTCTGCTTGAGCAGCTTCACATCACCAGCAGTACAAGGGACAATAGAAAATAATCTATTTCTTACAAGATCCCCAAAATGCAACTTACATAGTATGAAAAATTCATCGAAGTAGATTCGAAACTTCATTTACCTAGGCAAACACCGAAGCAGTGATAAGCGATTTTCAGTTTTGGTTCTCTGCCCATTTAAAAGAGTGTAAACTTCTGAAAAGTGTTACTCTCGATAGATAATCTAAGCATGCATCAGAAAACATATAAAAGGGCCGGGCACAGTGGCTCATACCTGTAATCCCAGCACTTGGATCACGTGGTCAGGAGTGTGACACCACTCTGGCCAGCAGGGTGAAACGCCGTCTTCACTAAAAATACAAAAAAATTAGCCTGGCATAATGGTGGGCGCCTGTAGTCCCAGCTACTCGGGAGGTTGAGGCAGGAGAATCGCTTGAACCCGAGAGGTGGAGGTTGCAGTGAGCTGAGAGGTTGCGCCACCCCATTCCAGCCAGGGTAACAGAGGGAGTTTCCATCCCAGGAAGAAAGGAAGGAAGGAGGGAGAAAGGGAGGGAGGGAGGGAGGGAGGGAAGGAAGGAAGGAGGGAGGGAGGGAGGGAGGGAGGGAGGGAGGGAGGGAGGGAGGGAGGGAAGGAAGGAGGGAGGGAAGGAAGGAAGGAAGACAAAACATGTAAAGGATAATCAGGTAAAGTCATTTTTATGAATAGGTAAATTCTGAAAATTCAACATACTGTAATCTCAGCCATAAATCATCTTAAAAAGAGCTAAGACATAAGATACATTAGCAATACAAAACAGTTGGTTAAGAAAAGCTCAGGTATAGTTCTGGTATTCCATATTATTTGTTTCCTCATGATTGATTTGTGGTTTTATTTGAGGGGGCAGAAATAAAAAAAGTCTTAATTTTAATCTCAATGATTTCTGAATAACAGAATTTACAAGAAAACTACAAAACTATCAGCATTTAAAATATCTAGAAGTACTTAATATTTTTCTTCCTCAATTACAAACTGCAATTATTTGTTTTTGAAATAGATATGTGATGATTACTGCTAATGGATTTCAATGGTGAAAAAATTATTACATAACTTAATAAAATATCTTCTTGAGTTTTGTAACAACTATTTCCAGGAATCCAAAATATTCCAAAGTTGTCTGAAGGAAGTAGTTCATTAATGCAATGATCAGGACATTTCACCACATAAAATTATAAATTCCCTTTTTTCATTAAAGCATTCCATGATTCTTCACTAAACCTCGGGAAAGGTGGTACAGAAAAAAGAGCATGATAAAATAAAAATGCTTCAGGAAATAGAGATAGAAAATACAAGTATTAGTATAAAATGAGGAAATATTGCATTAGCAAGTTGTTCATATGAAATAAAAATTTTAATGAACTTAATATAATTTACTAGTGATATAGACTTTGTGATGCTTTTCTCCCATTCACCCCAAACCATGTTGTTTTACAAGCAGGACAGTTTAGCATTTCAAAGTCATCCAGTTTTAAAAAAATAAGTCAGTTAACTATTGTTCTTTAAAACGGAGATCATGATTCTGAATCTCTTTCCCATAAGAAATGTTAAATTATAAACACAATTTATCAAAACGATATATGTCCCCTTTTAAATCTTTATGTCACTATTTGGTTTTTACTATTATAAAATACATTTTGCCAGCAATTATTCATGGGCTATCATTGTGGTGACTGTAACTTAATAAATCACACTAAAAGACATTTACTTTAAAAATTGCATATTTTGTAATACTTTCTAATAGGCACCTCGAAAACTATCATAGATGTAAAAAATAAAACTTTTAAAATCTACACAATTATATATTGAGGTTTCTGTATACATTATACATGTGCGTACACTTACACACACACCTATAAAAAGCATAGAATCATTAGATTTGAAAATGAACAAAAAGTGGATTTTTACAGGAAGTTTTTTTAAACTCAAACATTGGAAAACCCTCGCACCATTTAACAATTTTAATACAAATTTCTGTATAATACTAGGCAGTTTTATTTACACATAGAAAATGTAATAGGAGTAGTGCTTAAAAGTGCAGGACTCCTTAGCATTTAATGGCAGCTAAGTCTGGGAAAAAAAAAATTCCATTCACAAATATTTTCAAGCAATAAATATGATTTTATATATGGTGTAAATCTGTATCAGGATTAGAAACAAAATCACAAATCTGAAGTTTATTTCTTTCTTTACGTGCAATCCATTATCTTTGTATGTGGGCTAGTAATATTTAAAAAAAATGTATTTTGGAACCACAAGTGTAATCATCACGTCCTCAAAACACACAAAAAGCATAAAGCTTCCTAATTGTTCACATTGGAAAAGAAAAGTTGATTGAGAAGAGACTTAGATTTGCTATCTTACAAAGAATTGACCAGCTAGGAAAGCGTTTTTAACCAAGGAAAATTCTGCAGGGTTATAACACAAATGAAAATTAAATCATCAGCCCAGAAAGAGAGAAACATAAAAAAAAGGCCATCTTCAAGTCTGTTCTGTGTCACTTTGACCGTTTTGTCATGTATACACAAAACATGCTTAATATTATTTTTCTGAAGGACAGCTGGGTCAGCATGTAAGTCCCGAAGTAGAGGCAGTACCCTCTGTGTCCAGTTGCTTGACACACTATTCTTGAAAGGTTGCATAGACAGAGCTTTTAGTTAACAGCTTTATGAAACGGCTACAAATCCAGTGGTGCAGAAGTTTTGAATTTCTGAAGAGCAGAAACGATCTCATTTAATAGTCACGGAATGATATCAAGATGAGGATGATAATGAAAGAGCCTAGAAATAAAAATAAGTTAAGATTTTGTTATATAAATCCTGAACAGTGCTCACTAGCTCATGACTGTAAAGGACAGCCACTTTGTGGTGTGGGTTGACAAGAAACACGAAAGCTGAAGTTTTCTGAGATGCTTGCTTTCTCCATTAGAATTAGCTCTCTAAGACTGCTGTACAATTTCTTCCATTTTCCATCATTTAGTCAATAATATTTGGAATACTGTTAAAAGTTTACCAGTTTTTTAGACTGCTAAAAGAGAAGTTGTGTGGAAAAATAATTGTAAACGTTAATTAAAATTTCACTAGCTATTGGCTTATGGAAATGCCACAGCTAGATGACATGTAACACATTTTTCATGAGTCTTACGTATCATATCATCTAGTCAAGCTCCATTAAAAGTGTTAGCCTTTCCGGTTAACACTTCCAGGAATCTTTAAAACCACAGAGTATATGAAAATGCCCCGCACAACTTTCAGATCATTACCACAGAAGCATTAAGTAACCTACACACACAAGGGTTTTATAAGTTATGTAAAGTGGCAGAGAACTATGAAAATATTCTAAAAACATGCAGATTTACAATGTAATTACTGTACCTTCTTTGGGGGTATTATCAGTAAGCAAAAATGCTAATAAACATCAGTTTCACACAGAAAAATTAACATCAAGTATGAGGAAGGCTACATACGTTTTTCATTATGCAGTGTGTATTGCACCTGTGGAAAATTTAAGTATCTTCTTAAAACGTATTTTTCAGTTAGCAAAGTGAAAGATCATTGTTTTAAACCCCCCTAAGTGTACTCACGTATCGATCACTTCCCAGTTTAAACTGATCATAGACTTGGATTAGGTCCTCCATTTTGTACTGTTCTAGCACCACAAAATTTTCCAAACTTCTGCTTGTTTTTCGTGCACAATCTTGGCAATGTACTATGTAGGTTTTTTGAGTATTGCTTTCAATAGTGACAAAAAGCAGATTGAAAACCTCCACCTATATTACATAAATAAATAAATAAATAAATACATACATACATAGTAGTGGACAGTGGCATCTGAATTTACTTTAGCACTATAACGATGGGAAATCTACTTCACGTGGAACTGGATGGTGATTTTTGGTTAAATGTAAGTACTTAAAAAAAACAAAACAAGACTATGGTTGTGGGTTTGAGACACCAACGTTTCTTTTGTAGCACATCCAGAGAAAGAATTATGTGGTATGTTCAGACATTGTCACGAAAGCTCAATTCAAGGTTAGATGAACATCAGTATAATTTTATTTTACCCAAAATACCCGTGTACCACCAGACAAAAGTGACCGTAATTTGTTTTTCACTTTTTTGTGAGACTATTCACAGAACCTGTTCTGTGTCAGGTTTGTGTTCCCCCAGTGACTGAGCTCCACAACGACTACGTTTCATTCTTTTGGATGTCTGGAGCACTTCATTGTGCTTAATTTTCAGCAAAGCTAAAACTATAATTTAAAAAACCTTGGAATATGCCCATAATCCGATTTTTTCAAGGTAAGAAAACTGATAGATGAATAACAAAAAGGGTTGTTTTAAGTCTCATATTAAAAAAAAAACAAAAGGAGTATAAAAGTGTATTCGTTAACACACGCGTTAACAGGAAAAAAAAATGTACATCTTATAGACAAAGATGCGTTGCAAAAGCTCAGCAAGAGTAACAGACAATATTGAGGAATACAACGGTTGTTTTGAAATTCCAGAGAGATAGATTATTCACTCACAAGCGAAAAACCCCTAACTGTCATATGAAATTAACTAGAAAGGACTTCATACTGATCTGCTTGAATACTGAATTAAATCCTGTTTGTTGGCATCTGTGAACTTTTACGAGTCTGTTTCTAGTTTAAACTTTGAGATGATTATCACTTGCATAAGGATTAAGTCAATTCTTCAGTAGGTGATACTTTTTTAATATATCTAGATACTTTTAAGTAAATCTTTTTATTGAAATTGACTACTAATATTACTATTAGGCTAAGTTCTCATCTGATACATCATAATAGCCTGATCATATTAGTAGTCAATTTCAATAAAAAGCATTACATGAAAGTATAGGTAAACTTACAATTAATAAACAACAACAAATCAAAACTTGCGGAATACAAAACAAAACAATTATCAGTATAAACAGTTATGTACCTCACAAATGCTACAATAATGAGCTGGTTCATCATTTGTCCGCCCATGCCATATAACGTCTTTTCCTGCTGCAATAAGAGCTTCTCTCAAGGTCTGACATTGCTTCAGAATTTTCAAAAGACAGTATCTATTATGGAAACAAACTGTGAAAGTAACTCAATACTGAATATTTTAACAAAAAAGATACACCAATTAGAAATAAGTTTGAGAATCTGGGTTCTAAAGTTTATTCACATAGTACTTTTTATTTTCCTCAAATTTAAAAATATTGCATGATGGACAATGACATCATTAAAACATTTAAAGGTGAGAATAACTTACATTTGACCATAAAAAATGCAATGATCTTAATGTACCATAAACTTGCTCCTATTTTAAGACATATTCTTTATCTGGGCTCTAATATGGGCAACTGAGTTAATTTTGTACGAGTCCATTTATTAATCTTTGAAATAGAAGTTCAAAATTACAGGTTGGAATTCTTATTGTTACAGAAAGACAAGAAGGCTACCTATACCCTCAAAAACAGTCTATTTGTAGAACAAATTTTAAAACTTTGACACCACAGCAGGCAGTTATCTATGGAGATAGTATAAGACACAAAGTTAGTTACAATATAATAACGAGGAAAAAAAAGAAAATTACTTGTTAACTTTTAATTTGGAAGTGGTATAGCAGAATCTATTATTACTCACACTGACTTTTCTTATAATTTGTATCTTTCCTACACATACTTGTGTGGAAAACAATATACTGTACATAAGTACAAATAGTGCTGATTTTCTTGTAATTTACTATAACTGCTCAGAACTGTCTGCTAAAGTTTCTGTGAATCTAAGTGCCTCAAAGCAGAGGTGGACTAGATGCTATTCTAAGGCACACTTGAATTCTAAACTAACTTTAAAAGGCATGAAATGGGTTTAACAAAAATACTGTTAACAACATTTGTAAACATATAACCTCCCAGAATCAAAAGAGTTTAAGGAAATTTAGAGCTTATTATTCTATTATTGAGAAATCTGGAATTTCCAAAACTACAGATATTGACTTGAAATTACAATTATATGGATTACATTACAAGTATTTGGAAGGAAAATGATCATATTATCAGTATCTAGAATTATTTTCCTCATTTGTTTATCATCTTTCTTTCCCATGAGTATAAGAATCATGAGAGCAAGGCTTTGTTTTATAAACTGCTGTGGGACTAATGATTGAGTAAATTTTACAATATCCGTTAATGGCAGATTTAATTTCATTAATATATGTTTTCTTGGCATTTGTTAGGTTAACTTGCTAGGTTAAACTATTATGTTTTGTTTCTTTTCTTTTCTTTTCTTTTTAAATCAGAATTCTTCTATGTAACCTGGGGCAAAATCATTAAGGATGTTATAGACAAACTCTGCTAAGTTATTTAAAAATAAGATAAGCCTAAAGTGGTATGGCAAATTCCTTAAGTACCATATAAAATACATAAAATACGTAAGTTGCAGTTTGCCTTTAGCAATTTTGCCAGTTTAAAAACAAAGCCATATCTCTGTCTATATTAGAATTTGGCCAGGAAAGCTTTATGGTGAGTGTGTGTGTTTAAAAGAGGTGCCAGGGGAGAAAACAAGTAAAAAATTCAGTTCATGTCAAAAAGTAACAATATAAACCACACTGGATCTGTAGCATCTACTAATGACTTCCGTCCATCCCTCTCCTACATGATTTCACTGCTGGGAATGGGGATATTACTGTATAAGTTTTCAAAATAGTGCTTCAAAACATGTCATTTCACAGGAAAACACTGCCACAATTTTGTGATTTGATTTTTTGTAAATTCAACTATATTCCAAGTGAGAAAATAAAGTGCCACAAAGAGTTAGCAATTATGAAGGCTTAGTACCACCAGATACAAGACATGGAATTGGTACTTTACATTAATATGCCACACAAGTCTCATAACACTTCAGTGTAATTAGCATCCATACTCATTTTACTACATGAGAAATATGGGGGTCAAAAAGGGAAAGTTTGCATGTTATAAGTCTATTTCTTTAGGGATTAGGGACTTACCAAATGGTAATTTAAAAATTCCTTTTACTATGTCACCAAAACTCTTTTCTGCTCACTGTCTGTCAATTTTTGTAGCCATTCACCCCACCACCCCTGTGCCTTCCTTTGTTTTTCATGAAGATAAGATCCTTGGATGTAAAACAGAACATTATGTTCTCCCAAACAATGAAGGTTAGTTCTTTTTTTTTTTTTTTCTTTTTTTAAGAGATGGAGTTTCGCTCCCAAGCTAGAGGGCAATGGTGTGAACTTAGCTCATTATAACCTCTGCCTCCCAGGTTCAAGTGATTCTCCTGCCTCAGCCTCCCAAATAGCTGAGATTACAGGTGGCTGTCATTATGCCCAGCCAATTTTTGTACTTTTAGTAGAAATGAGGATTCACCACATTGGCCAGAATGGGCTTTAATTCCTGACCTCAGGTGATCCACCTGCCTCAGCCTCCCAAAGTGCTGAGATTACAGGCATGAGCCACTGTTCCTGTCCATAATGAAGGTTAGTTCTGTGCACTCAGTATGATTCTATTTTTCGTAAATAGATAAACTTTCATTTCAAATAATTCTTATTATTTTCAAACACCACAGTTTTTAATGTATTGCTTTGCAGGTAGCTTTAAAATTTTATATAAAAAAGAGACAAAACACTACAAAGAAATGGATCTTCATTGCCAGAAGTAAACACTAAACATAAATAGTGTTTCTATAGAAACAGTGGAATATTATTATGACAAAATTAATAATATTGTTGTTATATATTACAACAGCCATTCCAGAATCAGACTCTCTGGAAAGATGGCAGAGAATTATATGCCCCAACAATGAAATCCTAAAAACTGATAGCTGGAACCAAGATGGCCGATTAGAAGCAGCTCACAATTGCAGCTCCCAACAAAAGCGCAGAGGATGAGTGGACACCGCATTTCCAGATAAATTTTTATTGCCCAAAGACCAGAAGATTCCCAGGCAGAGGAACCCCATGGGTGGCCAGTGTGGCTATTTTGCTGATGCATCAGTGCAGCAATTCTCTGTACAAAATACATGGGTCTGGGTGCTGTTTTAGCTGGTGATTGGAGCTCCTGGGAGTCAGACTCACCCATTCAACTGATAAAAAGGGGGGCTGAAACAGGGAGACAGGTTAGGGGATTCCTGGGCAAAAAAGCACCATGAATCTCAGTGTGGCTGTTTCAGCTGGCTCAGTGCATCACTGCAGAGGAAATCACAGACCAGGCACCTTTTCAACAGGTGACTGGAACACCTGGGAGACAGAGTTGACCATTCAACTAAAAAACAAAAAAAAAAAAAAAGGAGGGCCTCTGAGGCAGGAAGCCAGGTGATCAGGCTCGGCCGGTCTCACATCCACAAAAAAAAATAGGAAATGCTCTGGATTGAGAGTTTCACAGCAAGCAGTGCTGAACCGGGATGGTCCAGCTCTGTAGGGGAGTGGTATCTGCCATTACTGAGGCAGCCCGCCATTACAAAGGTGGGCTGCCATTGCCGAAGCAGTTCTAACTACATCTGTATAAACAGGACTGCAGGGAAGTTCACATGGCAGCTGGGCGGAGCCCACAGCAGGTCAGCAAAGCCTCTGCAGGCAGACAGTGAGTAGGCTATCTCCTTGCTGGGTAGGGAAGCCCTGAAAAAAAAGCAGCAGCACAACAGAAACTCATAAATAAAGCCCTAACTCCCCAGGACAGAGCACCTGGGGGGAAAAAAAGCCATGGTTTATAAGTTCTGCTGCATCAGACTCAAACGCACATGCCCAGCAGCACTGAATGAACAATGGAGTTCACAGCTCAGCACTTGACGCCTATAAAGGACAGACTGTCTCATAAAGCAGCTCCCTGACGTGTGAATATCCAAAGAGTCATCTCATGAAGCAGACGTGGGTGACATCTGGTGGGTATCCTTCTGGGACAAAGATAGCCGAAGAAGCAACTGATACCAACCCTTATGGTTCTCCAGCACTGCAGGTGATCTCCAGGCAAGCATGGCCTGGAGTGGACCTCAGCAGTCCTACAGCAGAGAGGCCTGACTGTTAGAAGGAAAACTAAGAAACAGAAAAAAAATAACTTCATCATCAACGAACTGGACATCCACGCAGAGACCCAATCTGAAAGTCAACAACTATAAAAAAGACAGGTGGAAAAATCCACAAAGGTGGAAAGAAACCAGAGCAAAAAGGATGAAAACACCTGAATCCAGAACGCCTCTCCTACAAGGGATCACAACTCCTCACCAGCAAGGGAACAAGGCTGGATAGAGAATGACTGTGATGAATTGACAGAATCAGGCTTTACAAGGTGGGTATTCAAGAAATTTCTGCAAGCGAAAAGAACATGTTCTAACCCAATGCAAAGACACTAAGAACCCTGAAAAAAGATTTGACGAGGGGTTTCCCTAGTGACGCGTCGGTGCTGCAGACTCGGCACAGTCGCGGGAGCCATGCAGTGCAGAGAAGCACCAAAAGAGACAAATTGAGATTAAGACAAATGACCATCCATATGCTGATCATTTCTATAGAGAACTGAGAATTAAATGAAAAGATAATCCTTTTAAAGACCTCAGAAGATGTATCTGTTTGTTTCAATCTGCTTTTGAGATAGGCTGCTATAAAAGAGACACTTCTGGCAATACCATGCCTTAGTGCCATAGCACCATAAAGAAATGCAGAACCGCTGGAAAAAAAAAGATGGCGTGGTAGGAACAACTCAGCATTGCAGCTCTCAGTGAAGGCACAGAGGGTGACTGCAAGCTGCATTTCCAGACGGATCGTCGTTGCCCACAGAACGGGGAAATTCCCAGGTGTATGAGAGAAACGGGATGCCAGCGCAGGTGTTTCAGCTGACGTGGTCATTTTGGCCGGTGCTGCAGTACAGAGGCACCCCGCACAAAATGCGCTGGTCTGGGTGCCTTGTTAAACCAGCAATCTGAGATTTGGGAGGGCAGATTAGCATATCCATCTGATTAAACAGGACTTGGACAGTGAGCCAGACCAGGAGATTCCCAAGAAGCGACATTTGAGCCAGCACAGTGGGTCGCTGCATGGGAAATCACACAGATCCTGGTGCCCTATCAG